TACAGAGAAATTGTAAGCTGCATACATAATCAGGGGTTAGACAATCAAATATCGGATTGAAAATCTATTCTTTTTATGTCGCATATAGACTCCTCTCACTAGCATACTATTTTGCAGGAATGGGATCATGCTCGTGACGATTTAGTAAAGCTTCGCGCTTACATCGACTCCAATCCTTTCGACACCGAATGGGAACTGATTCATCAGAGAGCCTGGCTAATGCACTGGGCTTTATTCGTTTACTTCAATTATCCGAAAGGACGTGATGACATCATTGAGATGTTTCTCAATCAACAGCTTTACTTGAATACTATCCAGGTGAGATTGTGTTTCAAAATTAATTGGTTTTATGGTCACATACTTCAGGTAATGTGTCCTCATCTCCTCCGTTACCTTGCTGTTGCTGTTGTCACCAGCAAAAACAAGCAGAAGAATAGTTTGAAGGACCTTATTAAAGTCATTGATATTGTGAGTTCGTCCGATCCCTATTCTGTCTCCATCTGACGTGGTACGGTTTTTTTGTTTAGGAACGTCACAATTATCAAGATCCTGTTACTGACTTTCTTACTTGCTTATATATCAAATACGATTTTGATGAGGCGCAAGAAAAACTTCGACAGTGCGAGGAGGTTTGCAGCGTTTCACGAAATGCTCAACGATGTTGATAGTTTTGATTATCAGGTACTGTCAAACGATTTCTTCCTTACCGGATGTCTGTCAGACTTTCGAGAATCCGCTCGACTCCTCATTTTTGAGATGTTCTGCCGAATTCATCAATGCATCAGCATAGAAATGCTTGCAAGAAGACTCAATATGTCACAGGTGCTGCTACTTTTCAAATTTTCACCATTAATTTTGTATATTCATAAGTGTAAAACTGGTTGATATTATTTTTTGAGTCTGGCAATATGCTTCTATGTATGATCGTTCCGTTGTAAGGCATTGGTAGAGTGTAGTTCCGTAACTCTTGGAATCTATACCTTACCAATGCAAAAAAAAATTTTATTGGAAAGAAGCGGGATAAATAAACCTGATAAGGGACAGGATTGGTTGACA